CGCGGCTGGCAGCATCGGGCCAACTGAAACAAGTCGATCTCATGTTCCTGGACCACTACAAGCCTGCCTACACAACAGACCTGAAGCTCTGCGAGGAGCTTGGCCTGGTCACAAAAGGCTCCGTGCTGGCAGCAGACAATGTCATCAAGCCCGGAAATCCGCCGTACTTGAAGTATGTCAGGTCGAGCGTTGAGGAGAAGGTCAAGGAGGCTGGAGAGGGTGGTCAGACAAACCTCAGCGGCATTGCTGAGACGAACGTCAAGATGTACGAGAAGAGATACGGCAAGGCCAAGTTCAGCGAGAGCAAAGGCAACCCGAATCTCAAGTACGAGAGCAAGCTGGTAAACAGCTACGAGCCAACGGGCGTACCTGTGAGTTGGAGCGCCGGCCGTCTCTCACGCGCATTTACTGACGAGCACAGGACGGCATCGAAATCACACGATGCGTTGGCTAGAAGAAGGCATCATAACTTGGTACATGACGCGTTGTAATCTTATGAATCGCGAGTTTCAGTGCTGGTGGGTCCTGAGCGCCTCGGCGCGGCGACGGTACCCGGCTGCTACCAGCTACAGGTGCCAGCAATGCCTCAATGCTTGCAAAAACAAACGGCATAAACAGATGAATCTATAGTTTCATAAATTCTGTGAAGCATCTCTGCGAGGCCGACATTGACAGACTGTGGTGATGTTGTGACCACGGCATGACACGTCGCGGTCGAGGAAATAACCATGAGCCCTGCATCCGCCGCCCAAACCCCTCAACCCCCATCCGCCGATCGCGGCCAGATCGCAAACAGGATCTACTACGACCAGATCGCAGACAGGATGAAGTCTAGGGTTCCACAATGTCGTACATGAGTGAAGTAACGATGACGTCTAGACTAGCGAGCAAAGCCAGCCTTCTCAGGCCAACAGCTTTGTCTGGGCGAACGTAGCCGCACGCACATCAATCACCTCGCCTATGCATGAACGCATTGCGTGACTACGAGCCGTCCGTCTGCACCGCTAATTCCTACTTACTTGCAGCCCGCATTGCAGTGCAGCGCAGCTTGCAGGCTTTTGCAAGGGCATAGTTGAGACCTCTCTCGGTCCTTTTTTTGATAAGGTAACGCCGTTGGTGGTGTGTTGGGAAACGTCTGAACGGTGAAGACTGTGCGAGAACAAGTGCCGAGGTCACGAGCACCTCTCTTCCATCAACAGCAACGGCGAAGACATGGCAGAGGGAAAGAAGGATGCCGTGGTGCCGTTTTACTATAGCCATGTGTGGAAGAATGTGCTTCTACTGGCTCTGAGCGCTGTTTGCGCGCCTGTGTCGGCAGCGCTGGTGTTGCTTGGTCTTGCAGTGTCGCGACTCCATGGGCAGCACAACGCAACCTTTTCGACCGAGGATAAGCAGCATGTGGCGGCGGCACGAAGACGGAAAACTATCCTCGTCACTGGGGTGTCCATGACCAAAGGGCTGACGATTGCGCGCAACCTGTCGCAGCATACACCGCATCGCATCGTTGGCGCCGACATCTCTTCTTTATCGCCAGGTCGCTTCTCCAGCGCTATTGCGAAGTACTACTGTCTGGACACACCGAGTGGCGACGATGCAGAGCCATACATTGACTCCATTCTCTCGATCATCCAACGCGAGAAAGTGGACCTATGGATCAGTTGCTCCAGCGTTGTCGCAGCCGTAGAAGATGGCCAAGTCGTCCGCCTAGCAGAGAAGCAAGCAAGAGAACAAGGCCGCCATTTCGAAGCCATCCAGTTCCGGGAAGACGTTGTCGAAAAGTTCCATGAAAAGGACAAGTTCATCGACTACATCGAGTCGCTTGGGCTCCCAATCCCGGAATCGCACCGCTGCACCAACCCACATGAAGCGCTCGATGTGCTCATGGGTGAGCTGCACAGAACGCCAACGAAATCAGGAAGAACGGTACCAAGACGACAGTTCATCATGAAACCCATCGGTGTGGACGACAAGGCCAGGAACAACATGATGACGCTGCTGCCATTCAATAGCCCAGACGCCACAGCCCAATACATCCACTCGCTCAACATCACCAAAGAGAACCCGTTTCAGCTCCAGCAATTCATCAAAGGAAGCGAATACTGTACGCACGCCCTCGTCATCCGTGGAAAAGTAAAAGCTTTCACCAGCTGTCCCAGCCTAGAACTCCTCATGCACTACGAGCCGCTGCCTGCCTCGTCGCCCCTCAGCAAGAAGATGCTTGGCTTTACCGAGCGCGTGTGCAAGGACGGCGGCGAAAGCTTCACCGGCCACCTAAGCTTCGACTTCCTAGTCGAGAACGACGATAAAGGCGCAGCCGCCAAGTTCTACCCTATTGAATCCAACCCGCGCGCCCACACGGCCGTCGTGCTCTTTGAGCAAACTCCCGAAATGGCAGAAGCTTACCTCTCCATTTTCAACAGCCCTAACCCCTTGTCATCGAAACACAAGATTGGTCCTGTTTTCCCTCGTTCCCCGACATACAGCTACTACTGGATCGGCCATGACTTGGTGTCTTTTGTTGTCCTGCCGCTTCTTGATTTACTTTTCGGCGTCGCGACCTTCCAGGCTGCTTTCAATGACTTGGCGACATTTTGGAGTCATGTTGTCGGTTGGAAGGATGGGACGTATTTGTTTGAAGACCCTCTGCCCTTTTTCGTTTTGTATCATATCTATTGGCCTGCGAAGTTTCTGGGGGCGTTGAGGACAGGGAAGGCGTGGAGCCGGATTAACGTTAGTACTACGAAGATGTTCGAGGGATGAGTATGGCGTGATGTGGGTCAGACTGTAAAAGAATACGGGCTGATGGGGAGTTACTAAAAGCGTAACGGCCGTTAGAAATCTGTTTATAGACCGTTTGTGAAGAGAATTTGTGCCATTGTCTGGACGTTCTAGCTGGCATCACATCGCACTGCTATGCTATGCTTACTCAAAAGTACGAATCTACGCGACCGCAACTCGTTGTTCGTGGATCCCTCTTTACCAAGCACTCTCCTTCCCCCTCAGTCCAAACTCACATCACTCTCCGTCTCCCAAACCCTGCCAATTTCCATATCCCTAACGCTCGACCAGACTCTTTCCAACTCTGCAGAGGTGGAGATACGAAGTCAGTATCTATCTCAAATGCACTTCATACCGTCAAAACTTACCGGCCGAATCCCTCCTGACCTTCTTCCTCAGCTCCGTAACGGCAATCGCCATTCGTCGCTGCAGACGAGTCTGCTGGCCATGTAGGGCACGAGCCATAGCGCATCGCGTGTAGCAGTGAAAGGCGATGCAATGCTTCCTAGCGGTACCAGAGAGACGGTGGAATGAGCCCTTTCGCGGCTGGGTTAGCGCTAGAAGCTTGGTGTTCCTAGACGATGACGAAGGAAAGATGGCCGTGATACGGGATTTGCGAGACGTAGTGCTGGAATATGTGATGCGGTGGTATATTCCTTTTGGCTTGTTCCTGGTCGCCGTAGCTAATGGAACGCACCCTATAGATCTTGTGCCGCTGTGTTTGTTGTCATCGTTGATGGGTGCTGCGAGTGAGATTGCGGCAGCAGTGCCCATGACCTGACGGATTTGCGCGCCCAAGGAATGGCGCTGGTCTGCTTCGGGCGCAATGGAAGTGGGGATGTGTTCGTCCGCAGCGACTTCTACACATGCGCCGTTCCAACCGCCTGAGTTGAGCAAGTGAACTGGGCGGTTCGCGGAGTCAACGCCCGCTTCGCATTTGCGCCTGATGTCATTTCTCTTGTCCTCGAAGCGTGACAGGGCCTCCATATCCTGGGTATCGATAGCGACATCAAGGACTTCTAGACTATCAGGCTCGTCTGACCAGTTTTTCGTGTCGCACTGTGTATGCTTTTGTCCCAAGATCTGAGACCCCAGCGTATACGTCCCACCATCTTCTGAGTCTCGATCTGCCTCGAACGTGCGCTTGGTGCCGTTGACGATGCTCAGCGGAGGCGCAAGGCCATCTAAAGCATCGGAAACCTCAGTCACCACTTCGTCTTCGGATTCTGCCTGTGGAACGCTCTCTTCGACACCAGAAGCCTCTTTCTCAGCTTCTTCAGCAGCATACGAAGCCTTGAGACCCTCCCAATCCCCCTTGACCCGTAACTTGGCGCGCCTCAACTCCACATCACCCTTGGCAAGGGTCAAGTCATGCATCATCTCAGCGACACGTCGAATCTGCTTCAACGGTACGACTTTGGCTGAGAGCTGCTGTCCAGCACCCTCCTTCGCTTCGGCCTCTTCTTCTTTCTTAGTCTTGGGCTCAATTCGAAGATCGCGGAAGAGATCTGTTATCAGTTGGAAATTGTGGGGCTCGGGATTTGCATTGATGTCTTCAGCCCGGGAGCGCCGTACATCGTCGCTCATGAGAACTTCCTCGCGAAGGCGTAGAACGAGGCCGAAGGCGCGACGATAGAAGGAGAGGAAGTCAAAGTTACTGTGTACTTCGTTCTCCTGCAGTTCTGACCTCATGGTACCTAGCAGGTTGGCGTGTGTCTCGTCCTGCTTGTCGAAATCGGGTTTGCGTACCCTGGCCTTGTCCTTGCCTTTTCGCCTTGGCTTCGAGGGCGTGATCTTGGTTGCTAGATCGGCAAACGTGTCTCGCAAGTCCTCTGAGATCCGCCTAGCCTGTTTACAGTCATCGTCTGATGCGCCTCCAACAGTCTCTTTCCGTCGGTAGAGATGGTTGAAGACTGCATGACGCCTCAGCCAACGGTTATTGTCCGGGTTCGGGCCATAGTAATCGGAAATCTTAGCCTCTAATGGCAAATCACTCCGTAAACCGCGTTTCACTCCAACTTGTTTCGGCACCCGAGGGAGGTACCTGGAAGTGTGGCGGAAGTCCGTGGCCATAGCGCGGCTACTGGTGCTACCCGAAAGGAGATAGCGATTGAGAAAGTCGTTAGGGTGGGTTGGTGGATCGCCGTGAAACAAAGCTCTTGACCTAAGCGTTGAGCACAGAATCAGTGCGTGTCTCACATGTAGTTCATACGCTGAAAATCTTACCCATGCATCTTGATCAGATAGTCGAGGTCTGGCCACTGGATGTTCAGACCGCCGATTTGGCAGGCGGCGTTGTAGAGGTGAGCGAGGCCATTGATGAACCACTGTATCTTGGTAATGGTAGTATGGTGGTAGATCTGGTTGTAGTGCCACATTGAAAGTCCCGCGAGCGTCGAATGAACGGTGATGAAGACGCTAGCAGCCATCGGCACTTCTCGCGAATTCAGAACATCTTGCAGCCAGTCCAATAGCCTGTCTAGAGGCTTCAACAGGAGGGTACTGAACTTGATCTCTTCTTTGCACATGTAGTCAGGCTTTGTTCCCTTGGCCCACATGCGGTCTTCGTAGTCGACATGACAACGGATACATCTGGCGATGTCTAAGCCGTGCTCGGTGAGGTCGCGTAGCATCCGACGACAGTCGTCGCGCACTGCCTCTTGGATGTCGAGAACAATGGCAAGGCCGAAGGGTAGGTAGTCTTGTGATGTACTCTGATGCAACAGCATCTCTGCGGTAAAGTGATCCCACTTTGGAAGCTTGAGATTACCCTTGCGAATAATGTCGAAGAACCTCAAGAATATCATGAGAGGGTGCTCCTGGATGTCGTTGCCAATACCGTCCTTCATCGGGCGCTTTTTCGTGACGTAGCTCTTGATCAAGACGGCAGCATCATCTAGACAAAACAGGTGACGCAGTGCTTTTTCAGTGAGCGGTGTTGCTGCGTTCTGTGCTCCAGTGTTGGGAGCTGCTTTGATCGTATCGAAAAGCTGACGGATGAGTATGGCCAGGTCTCCTGGTAGCAAATCGAGCTCCTCCATCAGTGCCTTGACGTTCTGGTGCAAATGATCTAAATGCAGGTGGACGAAGTCAGTATCTACTTCACATGCAATTTGTACAGAGACACTTACCCTGGGCTAGGTCGGTCACTAGCGCTGCGGTCATCGCATTGACATGGCCCTCATGGTAAGCGACCCACACGTCGTAGACGACAGCCCGTATGCGGTTGAACTTGTAGAGGAAGCAGAGTACAAGAAAGTCACGGCGCAACTGTTCCTCCTCTGCAGTCAGCAGGTTCTCCTCTGGTATCGGCGCCTTCGTCTTCGTCTTGGAAGTCAGAGGCTGCTGCTGCTGGCTGCCATCATCCATGTCAACCTGGTCCCGCTTCCGCATCTTCTCAAGTAAATCGTCCTGTTCGTCTTGGCTTTTGTTGGACTCGGCAGGAAACTGGATGAAGACAAGGGTAGGCGTGTCAGTCTTGCCGTTTCGAGCCTTATTGATACCGGGGACAAGATCCTTCAGCACCGCCATGAGCGCTTCTAAGCTGCCATTGAAGTATTCATGACCCAGGTCCGCCGTGTTATTGTGTTTGTGATATTGCGTTACCTCCTTCCTTGACCGGATAGCGTCTCCCAGGTCGTCGATACCACTGGTGTCCGCGAGCGGAATGCTCGTAGCGGCTATGGCGTTGACGAGCTGCTCCTGTTTTTGTAGCGGTATTCTGTAGCCCTTCTTGTTCTTTTTCTTCTTAGCCTGGTCTGCAACCACATTTGCAATCTCCACGCCACGTTGGAAGGCTGTCTGGAGCAACCACGCTTGGAATTGGTCGGTGTAGGTCTTGTAACGCTTGACCGTCTCGGGGAGTTCATTTTGTCGGTAGTAATCCATTTCTTCAGTAGACTGGATCTGCAGCCGAGGAACTGAATACCGGCGACAGTAAAGACGGGGAGGAGGACTGATGGCGGCAGATTAAGCTTGTGGGGCAGACTTGCAAGTGCACCAGAGGAAAAATCACATGGAGACCTGTGCTTTCTGACGTAGGATGAATGACGAGTAGAGAACGAAACTTCAACGACAACTCGCGCTCAAGCGGAGGACTCACACTTGTATATTGCGCAGGGCCAAGCCAGGAAGGCGTAATTATGGCCCACTGAGATTTCGTTGCTGTGTCAACCCTGATGTTACCAGGTGGTGGCCTAGAGACAGCAGTTTAAAGTGAAAGGAGCGCGAATCCCCAATACCATAGCCCCTGTCAGCTCTGAAATTGTCACGAGCATCTCGTTACAGCTAGCATGGTCAATGGGAGACAGTCGCTGTGGTCGGCTGGAATTCGTCGTGGAATACATAATCCGGGACTGTATGCATGGTCGTGTCGGCCGATGGTAAAGCTTTTCTTACAGCAATGAGCGCCATTCCTTGCTAGACGGCCTCTCCAGACCCAAATGGTCACATAGCTGACCCATGTGATCGACGCCCCAGTACCCCTCGGTCTCTCCTCTCGCGTTGGTAGCTGTCGCACATGGTCAACAAACACTTTCTGATTATCCGACAGAGCACCATTTCTGCGCTTACCGACAAACCATGGCAGCCCAAAGGCGCCGTCTTCAAACGCCTTGGTAGTGTTTCCGCCCAGAGCCTGCTTCACCTCATCGGTCTTCGTCCTCGCGATCACCTTTTGCGCCTCTTCGTCACTGCCCAAAACAGTCCCAAGGATAGCCTGCAGATTCTCGGGCTTAGTCGGGTCGTTCCAGTGCGCCCAGAAATTTTCGTAGCAGAGCTCTATTGCGCGTTCAAGTTTTTGTGGGTGAGAGAGCGAGAGAGATACCAGGGCGCGCTGAATGGGCAATGTGCTGACAGGGAAGCCAGGCGGAGCATCTTGCAGGATGGGCACGTTGAACTGTTTCGACAAGCGCTGGCGCTCCGTATTGATCCACTTGTCTTTGTCTGTATGATGTTAGAGGTCCGGGTAGACAGTGGCAAGTCTGAGAACAAAACTTGACATACTCTTGATCTTCAGCGGCGGTGTGTTCCCACAGACCTTCATCAAACCCCCAAGCAGGATCGGCACATATTGCACCTCGACCTGTTTGAAGGCCTTTGAATTCTGCACAAACGCTTCGATTAGCACCGCACTACACCTCTACGTCTCAAACGTGCTTCAACCTATACCACCACCCAGACAAACTCACCTTGAGGACGTGGAAAGCAATGTAGGCAAACGGGCTCACAATGTCCACGTAGAATGTAATCTTCGGCTGAGACATGACCGGCTTTCCTTAGAGAGCGAGTCTGTGGGAGCTGTTGTGGGGATAAGACAGGGGGTGCGACTTTGTTCCTGGCACCATGCCCTATGTATGTAGGTGCTGGGTGAGGAGTCGGGACCGGTGATCTCATAGCCGGTCAGAATAACCGAGGCACAGACGGCGACCCATCTATTCGCAGGCGCGTATCGACGTACACCGATTTGGCAGCTCCGAGAGATGCTGGTCACTGTCAAAGAATATGCAGGATCCAAGGAGCTGTTGCTTTACGCCGAATATTCCCTGCGACTGAGGGCTGGAGGATGCGCTGGCGACCATCATCTTCGGTGTCACGCAAAGCAAGTGCAACAGCCGGACACGTAGTTCGATAATGACAAACTTTGGTATCTACCCTGCGCCTATAACACAGCTACTCGCCTTGAACTCATCACTGAACAGGATCTCCTCGGAGTGCCTTCAATCAACCATTACAATGTCCCTCTCTAGGCCCAGCTGCGATGTGCCATTCGTAATGGCCTTTACCTCCCCAGCTACTTCATCCATTTCCTTCAGAGTAAAGTCCAGCAAGTAGCTCTCGTCTACCAACTCCTCTACCCGCTTGTAGTGTCTCTCAGAGTACACCTTGATAGCATCCAGCACGTCCTTCAAACTGCCCTTCGCCCCTACTTTCCCCTGCGGCCTCAGACTGGCTAGCCGAGAAGCAGGGTAGGACTTGACCACAGTCCATAGGATTTTTTGAGCGATCGGCGCGGTGCGGACGTTGGTGTTCCAGTCACGGAGGCGGATGAGCAGTTTGTACAGCTGCTCGTCTGCCAAAGAGGCGAGTACTTCGTCAACGGTATGGAGACCTGAAAGGCTGTCTGCATCTGGGTGCTCAGTCTCTACTACCGACTTGAAGAGGGAGAAGAGGCGGGCTGGCTGGTCCATTTGGAGGGCGAGTACGATGGCTTCGCGGTAGTTGCCGGCATACGTGTAGTTTTGTAGTTTCTGATCGAGTTCGACGCGTTCTGTCTCTGCAGTCGTCGCAGCTTCCAGCGTGGAGCTTGTTGTATCCTCCCAGAACGTGATGACACTGTCTCCACCACCAGAAACCAAGGCGCCTGTTGTTGGATGTGCGGCGAGCGCCCAGACACGGTCGGTGTGGTTATCAAGTGTGGTCATGGCCTCGCCCGAGAGTGAGTCCCAAATCTTGACAAGCCCATCACCAGCTGCAGAGGCTACTTGCGGTCCGCGCTTGTCTCGTGCATCGACGGGCCGGTAGGGCAACCACGACAGCTTCAAAACACTGTTGGAGTGGCCTTCCAGGGTGAGCAAACAGCTGTAGTCTGCTAGGCTCCATATCTTGACGGTTTTGTCGCCGCTGCCTGTTGCGATCAGGCCCTTGTTTCCCGAGTTTGGCGCCTGCGACGCCTTGGGTGCGAACTTGACCGACCATACGCCGCGTTTGTGGCCCCGAAGGACACCGATGGCCTCTCCCTCTGCGGCGGAATAAATCTTGACGGTGCGATCCTGCGATGCGGATGCGAAGAGACTGCCAGAGGGGTCGATGTCGATGGCGTTGATGTCTCTGTCGTGTGCTTTGCGGGTGTACTTGGCTCGCAGTTTGCCCTTCATCTCTTTGGTAGTATCCCACCGCTTGACGGTCCTGTCCTGCGATCCGGTCACGACGTATGCGGGAGGATGTGAGAGGGGGTCGGCAAAGGCGGCTGACGATTCCTGAGGTATTGTGTGCGGCAATGCAATCGCGCCGAGCGACTCGGCGTGGCCAGTGAGGACTGCGGCGCAAGTGTAGGATTCGTTCGCGGGATCGATTCGCCATAACCGCGCCGTATTGTCTTTGGCACCTGTAGCAAGCCAGTGGCCTGACCAGTCTACGTCCAGACAGATGACGATGTCCTCATGTCCTTTGAGCAAGCCGACATCCGCACCGAAGTATCTGCCCTGGGTTGCGTCGTCTCCGTCAGACTCGTTCAACGTGATGATGCGGATGTCTTCCGAGTTGGTGTTGAGCGCCAGTAGCGACTTGTCTCTGCCAACGTAGGCAATGTCGATGACCTCGTCGTGCGTTCCCGAGACGCGGCGGAATATGGGGAGCGGGTCGATGGTGTCCTGCACGCCGAGCGACTCGGCTGGTCTGAGGGTGTAGAAGTTGAGCACTTGGTCGGCATGGACCGAGACCAAGTAGGGTAACGAAGGATAGTAGAGAATGTTGACAATCTCGTCCGTCTCGGTTCCAGGCGCTTGCTCTCGGGTGAGCTCTCTGCCGCTGGACGCGGACCAGAGGCGCAGTCGGCCGTTCTCTCCACCCGAATACAGCGTGTTGCCGTCGGGGAGGAAGCCTGCGCTCTCGATGCCTTCGAGAGCAGCAATGGTGCGCTGCGCCTTCCACGTGTGCGAGTCCCAGACAATCAGCGTCTTGTCTCGGCTGGCAGACACGAGGGCCTTTTCGTGCGGCGAGTACTGTAGCGAGCGCACGACGGAGACGTGCGAGTCGAGCACGGCGGCGCTCTTGCGCTTGTGCAGGTCCCAGATGCGTATCCGGCCGTCTTCGGCACCAGAGGCCAGGCGGAACTGCATCTGGCTCTCGCCCTGGGCGTGCTCCAGCTCGGCAGCTTCTGGGCGCGACTTCCTCTTCCTCTTCCTGTTGTTGTCGGGGGCGTCTGGGCGCTCCGCCACCTCTACCTCGAAGAAGTGCAGCGCCGAGACGACGCCGCCGTGGCCGTGGAACGCGTGCGTCGTGTAGCCGCCGACAATGTCCCAGATCTTGACGACGCCGTCTGCGCCTCCGGTTGCAACCAGCGTGCCGCTGCGGTCTGTGGCCAGGGTGACTACGGGCGATGTGTGGGGCCGCAGTGTGCGCAGAAGCTCGAGCTCGATGGTGTCGTCGTCCGTGGCCGGGGGGTGGAGGGCGAAGAAGCGCATCGACAGCGACCGCGAGCACACGACGAGGTGGGATGCAGCTGGCGTCAGCACCAGGGCCGTGATGGCCTCGCCGTCGCCCTCGACCCTTGCCAGCTCCTGGCCGTTGGTGAGGTCGGACAGAAGGACATCCTCGCCCAAGCTGGCGGCCAAGACGCGCCCGTCTTCGCTGAGGGCCAGGCTGCCGCCCGCGTAGATGGGCTGCAGGGTGCGAGCGACGCTGTATGTGGTCTTGACGGCAGCTCGTTGCGCCGACATGATGGGCCGTGTGGTGCAGAGGCAGAGGCAGCGGCAGCGGGAAGCGTGTGCTGGGCGAGCTGAGGGCGCAGGAAAAAAGTTTATCGATAAGGCGGCCCTACCGCGCGCTGACGTGTGGCGGCGCGTCTCCCGCACACGCACCGTGCCACCACCACCACCACCACCACCACCACCATGGGCCGCCAAGCCTACCTGGACAAGATGGCCTTTGTACGGACCCCGCCAGCGCCGCGCGCACATGCTGGCTAACACGGTGCTAGGGGCGCTCGGCCTTTGCGCCCACGCAGGCCGCATCGCAGTCGGCCGCGTACGTCCAGCTCGAGTCGGCGCAGGCTGACGTCCCGCCGCGCTACCACGAAGCGACCGCCAACAGCTACGTCCAGCTCTACGACGAGCGCGGCAGCCCCATCAACCCGCGCTCCCACCAGTACGGCAAGAAGCTGCGAGGCGCCCAGAACGATGTGCTGGCCTCGGTCGGCGTCGTCGAGCGGCGACACGCCCCGGCGGGAGCCTTCCCGCGCGCCAGCCACGACCGCCTCGAGCTGCTGGAAGCCGAGGACACCGTTGGGAATGCCATTGCACTGGCGACCACGCTCACCGAGAACCTGTGCACCTGGTGGATAGGCACTCTCAGGGAGAGGATTCTGGCACGTTGCTGCCGCCGCCCGCTCGTGGATCCACTAACCGGCGCAGACGTTCCACTATCCCCATGCCCTCACCTTGGCCCAAATCGCGGCCGCTGAGCGTGCCCTCTCTGGCGCCCCCATTGTCTATGCCGGCTTTGCCGCGCGCGTGTTTGCGACCATGCACATCCAAGCTATTGTCTACAGCACCTTTGTCTATCAGCCTGTCGAGCGCTTGCTCTATGCCACACGCGCAACCGCAAGGACACGCAACTTCTTCCGCCACGCCAGGAGAGCCCTCAAGTCTAGCCTTCGCCTGGGCCTCGAGATGCTGTGCTATCCCTTCTTCTACCACGCTGCGTTGCAACGCCTTGGACTAGTGCCCGCCCGCCCACTGCTGCC